CCCTTTTCCAGAGAACTCCTCAATTGCACCCATGATCAGGTTTATCATTTCATTCTGAATGTCTGGTGAAAAATGTTCGTGAAAATACGCCTTTTGCAAAATATGTGCCCTGAGCCGTTTTAACCGAAACGTACCATTTTTTTCGTACCGAAATCTATCCTTAGTGAACTACATGCCCACAACGTTTCAATATTATACGTTTGCCCTTTTCGCTGGTGAAAAAACATCTTTGGAAAAGCCAACCCACCCTAACGCTATGCCCGGAGGGGATGCAACATGAAAGCTGAATACTCCCTCAGCTCAGTGTTATCATGTCACTTATACGTGTGCCAAGTTTCACCTTTCCATTTCTATCCAATTCGCCACGACAATTTATTTTTGGAAACATCGCACCTCGAAAAAATTCCCCCAGGGGATGTACATTTTTATTTAACTCCTTGTCTCAGTAGTCACAGTCATGCAAAGTTTCAGCTGAATGCTTTCCATGTCTCTCCGTTTTACTCAAGCAAAAATAATGTTACAGAGGGGGAATGAGTAACGGGACATGGGAGGCAAAAAAAGAGCCAAAGGAATGACCAGGAATTGAACCCGGACCTTCTGATTGCCAGTTCGAGATGCTACTACTACACCACCGAACCCAGCACCTCCAGTTGTCTCTCTGAATGCCATCCTCATCTGTCACAAAATATATTTAAGAAAAACGTTTACCCCCAAAATTTGTACCCCCAGGGCATGTACCTCCAAAGTCAGATTTTTTCTGAACTCTGCATCCCAAAAGGTACATGTGTACCAAGTTTACTCTGCTTCACAAAAGTTACATGTGTACCAAGTTTCAGATTTCTAACCCTTCTAGAACATGGTTAGAATTAGCATCAGTCAGTCAGTCACGATCATCTATATATATTAGAAGATGTAGCATATCTGCTACGTCATGCACTAACATTTGTCGGGCAAGGGCGATATTTTGCGGGGTACGCGCGCTGTGATGGGATGTTCGGAATGGCCCTTTCGACAGTCCCTGACATCGCCTTTCGATTCAAACTGCTTAGGAAATCTGGCATTACTCTTGCTGGATGGTGCATTCCTGGTCTGAAAGTGCCGTCGATACTGTCTTTGCACACTTACAGGCGATTCGTTTAGCTTGAAATACCATTTCACAAGGAACAATTTCTGCCCTCTGTGAAGGACGCATATTGCTTCAGCGCTGCCACCTAGAATATTTCTCCATGATTCATCCATATTTTTGAACCCACACGAATCTCCCATGCCTTCTTCATTTTCTGTGCAAATTTGGTCATTGAAATATTATTGCAAAAATAGTTATGTTTGGATTGGAAACTAGGAACTATTTTAAAAATCAAATTTTGTATTTTTGCTTCAGTCGGACGGAGAGACATGGACGGCTGACACTTGACATGAATGTGCCTACTGAGACACTGAGTTCAGGAAAAATGTCAAATTTCAGATGCATCCCCTGGGGGCATAGTTTTTTATGTTGGCATTTTCAAAGATTTTTTTTGTCCTAGCGAATTGGCAGAAATAGAAAGGTGAAGCACACGCATGGCTGATGTGATGTTGAGTTCAGGGAAAATTCAGCTTTTGTGGTGCATCCCCTCGGGGGATAGTTTTTGGGTGGGTTGGCTTTTCCAAACATTTTTCCACCAGCGAAAAGGGCAAACGTATAAGGTTTGAAACTTGGTGGGCATGTTGTTCTCCGAGTACTGATTTCAGTAAAAAAAAAAATATTCATTTTAGGTAAAACCCCTCAGGGCACCTATTTTGCAAGAGGCGCATTGTTCCGAATATTTATCAATCCAACGAAACAGAGTGCGATAGAAGGTTGAAACTTGGAGCAGAAGTACAGGGTGACAATTTTCAGTGTAACTGATTTTCATAAGCTCTCATTTTTATAATTGACTACTGATTTTAATGAGTAATAGCTCAATTTAAGGCTAAAGCTCTGCAGTTTTATTGATATCAAATAAATTTGACAAATTATTCTGAAATTATGCTAAAATCTGTTCAAGATGCCCTCCGTTTTGATTTCAGCATTCCTACAGTTTGACCTTGTCTCTGTGAATTTAGCCACTATCCACATCCTTTGCTCTAGAAAATATTGACCCCTCATGTTAACAAATCTGCAACGAAACGAAACAAAACTGCATGAGACAAGCTTTCTGGAAATGTGTCACTCAACGCTCTCCGTTGAAAATTGTGTACATGGCAAGCCATTAAAATCTGTAACATTGAGAATTGTTACCCTGTACCTGATGGATAGCTGAGTAAATAAAAATCTTACTTTTGGAATACCTGTATGTCTCCTCAGGGCGGATTATGGGAGGGAAGTATTTCCAGATTTATTTTCTGCTCTGACAAAAAGGGCACATGAAAAGATTTGAAGTTAGGCACACAAGAAATCATTGGAGTAATGATTTAAATTAAAATCACGGAAAGTTTTCGCCACTTCGAAAATGAATTAATGAATTAATCCTTATTCTAGATAATAGAGCGCCGAAGGGCGATCATAGCAACAAACTTGCTAGTAAATAAGAACTTATTGGCTTGCATACGTTTTCTATCATAGTACCGATGATCAAGTGAAGTGTAAAGTGAAAGCGGTGATAAATTCATATTTGTACCGTATTATAGGCTTCGCAAACGCAAAATGATAGAAACGGGACATCATTGCCGACTTAGGACTTTGTTTCTCTTCAAGAAATGAAAAGAGGCGAGAAATTCTCGAGAACGGAAAACCCACGCCAGATCTTCAAATTTTGCGAAAAGACGGGGCAAAAACTCGTAATTTCCATAAGGTCTAGTATGAAAACTGGAGAAATGGGAGGTGCAGAGAGGGACGATTCAGAGACAATTGGTCCGGAACCGAACCAATGGCTAGTTGATGGAATTAAAATTATTCGTTTATGTCAATCGGGAAACTAACGTATAAAAAAAATTAATAAGAGCATTACTGGCACCTTTGATAAGTTTTAAATTAATATTTAAGAAGCAATTAATAGCAATGATAGTTGTAGGAAAGAAGGGAATAAACATGTCTCACTCCAAAAGCTCACGACTGGACGAACGAAGCGCTGCAATAAGTGATGGTGAAGGAGGAAAAACGGGCAATTCGGTTACAAGCCTCAAACAGACGAAGCCCAACATGTTGAAGTGGCAGACTGAGGATTGCCAGGACTGCTCTCCCGGCGAGATGTAAATAACGACTCTCTCAGTTCGGGTTCAATTTGTCCCGAGAAAACTAGATTCGCTTAGAGCGCCCTGTATACTTGACAGACAGAGCGCTCCAATTCGTTCAAGAGGCACGCTAAAAAAAAATCATTTTCTGGGTTTCCGTTACACATATTTTCTTGGCATCCTGGGCTTAACCCAGTAGTGTAGCGAGAGTCTCGTATTTCGGAGGGCCAATGAAGTCCTATGTGGGCCTAAAAAACCTTATGTAAGCTAGGGGCAAAGGAGGGTGGGAGCCAGGACAGCTCCCTTCCCTGGCTACTTCACTGGCCTACCCTACTGCATGAACCGCGAACCGCCACTGTTATCCATGTCTTCATCAATGATGTATATTTACAGAAGTCACAAACAAACACGTCCTCATCCGCGTCGTCATCGATGTCTGCATAGCTGTCATGAGCCTAATTCCGACAGACAGAGCAGGGCGCTCAACCTTCACCGGGTTTTGAGCGAGAGAGAGGATGTGAACAGTAACACATCGCCTCAGCCTAAGTCTCACCGTTGTAATGGATATTCTAGAGGAGGAGAAGAGACATATAGGGTGACTTGCACCAAATTCGTTTTCATAATGGGCGTCTATGGGAATAAGTTTATCTCTGTAAAAGTGATTTCCATAGGGGACCATTGTGAGATCAGATTAGTTCAGCTTGAACGGATCGGTGCATGTCACCCATTGAGTCGCTATACTGCCCCATTTTACCCCCTCAGCATGACCCCGTTTTGCCACCCTAGCACAATATATAATTAAGACACTGCCAAAAAAAAGTGAGTGTGCTGTGCAAAATATTGTGACTTCATGAAATAGTTCACATTTTCACCTTTGGCCAAAAAAAAGTATCGGACGCCTCCAGTGTTTCCAAGTTACTATGTTTCGTTCATCAAAAACTCGAAACAAAATAAGAAAAGTCTGTGTTTGCTTATATTGCTCGTAGAGCGTTTACAAACTACTTTACAGAGCGCCGCCGTGCCTGAAAACTTGCACCTGTGGTAGGGGGTTATAATACAGTAAATATCCGATAGATATCGGGTATGGTTTGGTTAACCCTTTCGTTCATGAATTATTATCAGATATGAATTCAGGTCTGTTGATTTTTTTCTTGCTACTGTTTGATTAATTAAACACCCTTTTGTTCGTGAACATTATATATTTTTTTAATTTTTCGAAATCACAGAACCAAAAACGATTCCGTCCACTATAGTGGACACCATGCACTTTCGCTTTTGATGACATACAGAGCTTTCGGAAAGCTCAATTACAGGCCCGCATTTTTTTTGGCAGTTTCACGTTATAACTTATTTGCAAGACTTGCAAATGAGTAATAGAGTTTCCATACATACTATGGAAATTTTCCATGCAAATGAATCTATATGCACACGTTTGTATTTTATTTCCTCTTTGCATAACACGTAACGCGGGAGTCCTAACTACGGCCCTGTACTTCAGTTTGGGATATGACCTTTATTTTGTCTCAAGTGGAGATGCATGCCGACGTGCCACGCCCATTCTCCTCATGTCTTTCTTGGAAGGGGAAAACTTGACTGCAGTCGATTCTACTGAAATTTGTGGTGACAGTTTATCAAGCAGAAATTTCTGAAACACACGGCGGGCCGGATGAACCACCTCCGCTGGCCGTATGTTTGACACCCCTGGTGTATCAGCATCAGTGGCGGCTCGTGATATTTAGCGCCAGTGGTTCGTCTATGGATAGGGGGTAGGCAGGGGAGGGTGCTGCCTACCAGGAGTCGATTTCTCACTTCGTCAAATTCGTGATGCAGGCTGCCCGCAAGCGAATGTCATCTTTGCCTTCCCATAGCTGAGGATCATCACTCCATGATTCGAAGAATAACTTGACTACTGACTGATCACCAGGCAGGTCCATCTGTAGACAAGGTCATCCAATACTAGCTAGAACCACGTTGACCTTTGTACCTGTCAGTTGTCGAATCTTCATTGTCACAGCTCTTCCTTAAGATGCGAATGTCCGTCTCAGGAAAGCCAATTTCTAGCAGCTCCATCGCGCAAACGAAGCATGGACTTTTGCAATTCAGATTTCAACTGTAACCTGCAAACTGCAAGAGGTTCTGCAAATAGGAAATATTAGTTCATCAAAACTTTTGTATATTTTCTCTGGGTGCCCTGTAGCATAAGAAAACCTTTAAGCGGTGGAATTTCCTCCAAAGCTGGACGCTCCCTTCCTTTTCAACTGAACCACCTAGTGAGTCATAACTTCTCAGCTCGACACAACTTTGTTAATATTTCTCTCAATAGGCATTTCTAGTTTTTAATCACAATTTCAGTATCTAAGAGCATGGTAAGTTAAGTGACAAGCCTTGAAAATGGATCAGCAAGTCTTCACTAAAGTCATTAAAAATTAAAATATTCTAAGTGAAGAAAGCAACAAGATACTGAAAGAGAAAAGATATACTGTGAAGAAGTGAGAATATTTTATTCAGTCATAATTTCACTTCCAAGAACAGATACAAAATGAGTCATAATTTCCCACCCAAGAACAGATAAAGAATAAAAAGGTCAGTGAAAGAAGGTTGGAAACCAAAACAGTAAGAGTGGGAATGAGGATAAAGCAGGACACATGTCCATCATAAAGACATTCCATGGAGGCAGGCACTCTTGTCATTGGAAAGGGAATTTATGCTTCATTGCATCAAGGTTTCTAGGACAGCATCAAGGAGACACATGACAGTTGTGATCATGGTTGTGATTCCACACTGAGAGGGGCCAATGTGAACTGGATGGAGGAGAATCCTTGACAGTGATGTGAAAAGTGAGGACCTGCCGGCGACGACCATCACGTGTCACTTTAGTCTTGAATTTCTGGGCAGTAGAGCTGTCAAATGAAAGGCAATCTCGATGTTCATAGATCTCTTTCACCTCTTCATGCAAGGAGTGGCATCGCCCCTGGTAGGCAAGAGATCCATTTGGACCATCCAGTTCCACTCGATACCAGAACTTCTTGGCTGTCTCCACTGTGTCCAGCATGCGCACAGTGAGGAAGTGAATGTTAGAGCACCCGTTGTGAAGGTAGTAGAGGTTGACAACAAAGGTGACATCAAAACACTGCTGCACAGCCGTCCACATCCACGTTGTGTTGTTATTGCTTGCATTGTAGTCAATCACACAAACATAGGGAGTGAAAATAAATGCATCTCCTTTGTGTGGCTCTAGCTGTCCATGCTCCCGCTCAAAGTTGTCAAGGTGTGTGAGGTACAGGTGCTCTAGGACTTTCTCTGCATTCCCCATCCATGGCATGCAATTGTCAATGAACCTAGAGGAGATCAGAGGGGAATGAATGTGATGGCATTAGGGTTGAGAATAATTCAACGTGTTTTCATTCATTGTTGTTTTCTTTTTGTCTAGATGAGAACATTTTGTAGCTTTTAAATACCATTCATCACAAACCTCTACCCAAGCAAAACAAATCAATTCTATTTTACACATGGCATATATATCCTGCCATACCAACGCGAAGTTTGACTCAAAAGTTGTGCAGTATATAAAAAACACCAAGCATACATATCCCTAATTAAAAGTTTTAAAAGTGGTTGCCACATTGCTAGGTAATCAAATGCATGTGGTACTGCAGATTCTCTGCCATAAACTGGAAGGCATCCCAAGCTATTGCCTCAATGACATTTGTGTAACTGGCTCGCTTAGACTGCAGGTTGTGGGCTGTTGTCAACTTGCTCTTTAATAACATAAAAGGAGGCAGATATGAAGTTCAAAGACCTTTGAAAATCACTCAAAGAAAACCCCATGCAAGGGGCTATCTCTTCATCAGAGGTGTGTTATATTGCCCCATGGGGGCAACATACCACACTGTCCCTTTGGGGATCACTCTTTTCAAACTTGACATCACCAAGCTTCTTTTGGCAGGGTTATTAATAGGAGAGCTTTGATCTACAGGGCGGGCGAAAAAAAGTTCCACATTTTTCATTTAGCAGCCAAATATTCATTAATTGATATAGGTGCCTGCAATTTATGTCATTACTTAGAATGCCTGGACTACAATCACACTTCATGAGAATCGGTTCAGAAGTTTTCACACAGTGACAATTTTACAGCGAGGTGAAAAACCACCACTGCATGGACTGGGGATTCTGCCCCTCGCCCATATACATGTATGTGGAGGCCAGCATTGCACACAAAAACATTCCCTCACAAAATGATAGGCAGACAAAAAAGAAAGAACTTCAAACAGCAAAAACAATAGGGTCAACACATATTTAGGGCGCAAGAGCCTCACTCCTCCGAACTGTCTGCTGAACAGAGCCCTTCAGCCTGTTCAAATGGTATTAGTCAGTTTGTCAAGCAGTGGTGATTTTCCACTTCTCACCGTAAAATTGCCACTGTGCAAATAATTCTTAACAGACTTTCAAAATAAAAACTACATTTGATTGTAGCTTAGCCATTCTAAACATTGGTACATATTGTGGGCACTTGACTTAATTAGTGAATATGTTACAGCAGAATGAAAAAGGTGGAACTTTTTTGGCCCACCCTGTATATACAGTGGAATGCAAAAAAAAATTGCAGTCAGATTTTGGTGAATGGTGAACTGCTGGAAATAATGAATTTTGAAACAGATTTTTCCCCCCACAGATTCGCCTACTATATTCAGCAGAAATACAAAAGTCAATAATTGGTTCAACCTCCCTCTGAATCAATAAGAGCCAAACATCTCTCTTTCATCAATGTGTTCAAATTACTTATGCTCAACATATCAATTCCTTGCCATTCTTCAAACAAGAATGGCTTCAATTTATCAAGATTTTTCAGCCTCTGTTTCTCTGGTGGTTGCTTAAGAATGGACCATAAGCCTTCATTTGGGCTTACATCCAGACTGTTTGGTGGCCAATTGATCATTTTGGGTACATGCTGTTCAAAAATTTGTTTCACTACCCTATTTGTGTCCTAAGGATCATTGTCTTACTGGAATTACCACCATTGTCAAACCTGTCTTCTTGCACCAGAATTTAGATGTTCTTGAAAATTTTGAGATATCGTACCCGTCAGGTACTAAGAAGACTTACTTACCGTACTATCAACCAGAAATTACGACTTCCGAGGGGTGTGGTAATAGAAGACGGACGAAAACCCTTAAGAGAACTCGAGGAAGACTCACAAGTTGGATCTATGATGTATTTCTGAACAATTGATAACAGGTTTCATCAGAGAACACCATCTAGCTCCAATAGTCATCTCTGTGTTGCAGTGCCCATTGTACTTGCCTCTCCTTTTGCTTCTGGGTTTGCATCAGTGGTGCCAGGAATAAAACACCCTTAGAGTAAGTGCTGTGAATGTTGGCATTGGGGGTAATCTTGGCACTTTGCAATCATCAAAATTCTGCTTCCACTACTAGTTCCCTAGGCACGGGTTGATAAGTATTCTCAGATGGTAGGTCTAATGTTGTTAAAATGTGCTTGGAACAGCCATATTTACTGTTGTAGTTTTCTCGCAGTGGCTACTTTCTCTAAGTGCACTCTGAAAATCCTGCAATATCTTGTGGTTTTGCTAAGCTTTAGCTCATTCCATTCTTCTCTTCCACACTAGGTGTTGTTTCATCAGGTCGTTGCATTAATTTTTGAGTCAGTTGTAAACAACAGTGATGCATAAGTGTGCTGAGATTCCCAACAGGGTGGTGCCATTTATACCAGCAAATGTGCCAAGATTGTCAACATCTGACCCAACTTCACCTTTGACCCAGGCCCTCGGGAAGGAAAGGCCTGGGGCACTTGAGGTACAAGGAGGTTTATAATAAAGATATCACCAGACCCAACACGAACAAGGAAGCCCCCATTATGAAAACCAGCAAGCAAGGTGAAGTGAGGAATTTGCTTAGAGTGCCGACATTCACAGCACTCACCCATAACCAAGTTGAGCAAGATGGCACTGCACCATCCATCTGGACACATGCCAGCCTCTGTTCTGCAATTTCCTTACAATTTCTTCTGCTATTGTCTCACTATTACTTCAAATCCACTGACTGATCACAATACTGTCCTCAGGCTTAATCATAAATCAGCATCATTGTGGCCATTACCACACCAATGCTCCATTGTGCCTCACTTTTTGATTTTAATCATATTATGCCCCAACAGTATGGATGGGGATCTTCGTTTGATGGGTGATTCTGGCAGCACAGTGATACACAGAGCAGCACACAGATTCCAATAATGTAAGATGATTGATCAGTTCATTGACAAAGGGTTAGAACTCCAATAATACACCATTTTCAGCAGACTCTACAACACTTTCCAGAGTTCCAATGCTCCATTATATATTGCCTCTCCTAGACCTTTGGGGAAGTTCCTGTGTTTAGCTGCAATTTTTGGCACTTCACTATATATCGACTACCACATGATCTGCATAAAATCTGAGGTAACATCATAGATGTTATTGCAGTAATTCCCCTGCAAACCTTACAGTTTCTCATAGAGAGCATGCACATATGTGCCTCCAAGAAAGTGGTCACTTTTATCAGCTCTCCTAATGACCAGCATGTGCGCTAGTACATTTAACTACATTCTCAAATATTTTAAGATTTGGCATCACTTAATTACCAAGTTACATGATTTTCAGGGGGCTTTGTTATTTTGGAATCACCCTGTATTTCACTTATGGGCACGAGTTGTCTTTAAGTGGACTATTGGTTACCAGCAAATGCTGAACATTTTCAAATGTTAAATTTCCAATGCATATTCAAATCTTGTATGGTCTACAAAACAAAACTAATGTGAATTATTATTATAGAGGGGAAACTCACTTGTAAGGACAGTCAAAAAGCCTAAATTTGCATTGTTCCTGTTCATGGGCAACTTTCTTAGCTCGATGAAGGACCACTTCACAACCTTGGGAAGCATTTCGACATGGAAACAACAGAGTTTCAGCAACTTTCTCCATCACCATGCAACGAATCATGCCCAGCTCTTCTCGGCATGATGGACAGGAGACAAGCTGAAAAAGTTACCAATAATGTAGCAGGAAGCACTAAACTTGTGGCAATCATGTTCAGAAAGTATTTCAGAATGATATTGGACATTATCTTGAATTTTGAAGCCTGTATATGCCTCACTCCTTCCCCTACAGTACCTGCAATATGATTTACAATTAAAAAAATAAAGAGGATTCACTCCAAAATCATGAAACCATTTCTCTCCATAGCAGGAACAGTCTATCCATTTCAGCATTATCGACACAACATCAGAGTAAATATGGCATAAAATAAGCCTAGAGTAAATGCTTTCTTAGCTAGTAATACGCCATAGGCAGCTGTTTGCTGGTCAATGAAATGGGTTCCACATAACCTTTTACAAGGGACTCCCTAAAATATGGGATGACAATGTACCTGCTAAGTATACATAAAAATGAAGCACATTTAATTTTCCATTGATCTGTCAAGATACAATTTTTCTTTTAGATAAAACAGCTGGTCTATTATTATATGGAAGAATTAAGATATCAAAGGAGAAAACATCTTAGCTCTTCCATAAAACATTACTTATTACATAAGCATCTTTATCTGAAACAAAAAAAGACTCAGACAAATCAATGAAGGTTGAAAAGGCTTTAATTTTACATACATATTGCAGATACAGTTTCATCCTATGTCTCAAGGGCCCCCCCACAAAAGGTTATGTGATACTCAGTAAAACTGTGCTTCATCATGATAATCTACAGCCCTGGCCAAAGTTTTTCATTTTCAAACTTCAATGATGAACATTTCCCCATTGTACAGCAGATGTAGGCTTACTTTTCTTTAAGCCAAGTGACAGAGAATGATTACCTGGCCTCTAAAGTTAGGTAAAATGACCTTTCACTGTTCTATGGAATGCAGGTGAAAGCACTTTACTTACAGACATCAGTCACACCATGTCAGAAAGGCTATACCTACCTTGGGCTTGCACACTGAACAGATGAGATGGCCCTGAACACATTGGTAGATAGGTGGGAGCATGTAATCATAACAGACTGGGCACTCAAATAAGCCAAGTAGTTCCTGTGTACTCATCATGGGGACAGTCTGACACTCTGCTTCACATGCCTGACGACTAGGAGGAGTTTCACTCGCTCAGAGTACACAGTGCGGGGAGCTAAGTCCCCTACGTACGTAACTGTACTACTCAAACACAGGTCTTAGATAGGTTGACTCCGTCATGACGAGGAGACGTACCTTGATTTGTCTTTACGTTTCAATCAGCATATGAAACTACTTTAATGCACAACTTGAATTTTCTATTGCCAAGTAACCTAGACATGTTCCACTGACATTTCTCTGTTGTTAGCAGTAGGTTCCTAAATGTTTGTCCTGCAGTCACCCAAAGAGATCTATAAATAATAGGGCTGTCAATGCGATTAATTTAATTGATTAAAGTATTGCTATTTTATAAAACTAAGGAAAAAGAGGCATTCTGAATGGAGAGAGATTATTGATGATGAAAATTTGATTAATTTCAATTAATTTTTAAATCCTGATTAATACCTTAAAAGATTAATCTGTTGATTAAATTAATTGAATTGACTGCTCTAATAAATAGATTCAAATTTTTTGGCTCAAATAGGAAAATTAGCATCTACTGTTATGTATATCCATCAGAGTGGTCCTGTAACCCTAGGGCAGCATTTCTCAACCTGGGGTCCACAGACCCTTAGGGATCCCACTTAGCCCGAGCCAAAATAAATAACAGACAGAACTAAAATCAAATTCAAATTTAAATAAGAGTATCTTTAGTCAGCTTCAAATTTACTGTCTTCAAAGCTACTTAAACTATTTTAAAAAGCTAACAAATTCATGCAGTAGTAAAGGAGGCATGTGCAGTTCCCCACAGAATGGCTTCCAAAGTGGACCACCAGTGGAATGGCACACTAGATAAATCAATTGCAAGCTCTTTTTGACAAGATGGCAATGATTTAGATTTTTGCAATCAGATGGGGATCTACAGGTTAAAAAAGGTTGAGAATCACTGCCTTACTATCCTTCATTTTGTGCACACTTCCCACCAATAGTGGCTACATTGTGTGCCCACTAGACTCAGACATACAACAAGCAAAAAAGAAAAGAGGTTGGAATCCACATCTGTGATAGAGGAGGATGTCACTAAAACAATTTGCATGATTCACAGATTTATAGAAGGAAAAGGTTTGTGGAAGTTTGCAAAATCCGAGGGAAACTTGAACAAGATTATGAGCAAAATTAGACAGGCCTTACTTTTCCTTCTGATATGTCTAGCAACATCCTTTCATCCCATTCCTGATCCATGAATGAGATTCTGCACACACTCTGCTTGAGAACAAACATATGACTTGCCTAATTGAGATCTGTGATCAGATTGGTTGACACAAATGGCACAGCATCTGCTTGCACCAATGGTGTCTCATTTGCTCCAGCCTCCCCTCCATGTTGTAGAGGGAGAACAGGAAAAGGAATAAGGAAGCTCTGAGTGAAATGAACTTGAAGGCTGCTTCCATGATTTGCTGTCAACATGAATGTCTCAATGTACAGCAACAGATGCAAGCCAGCATAGTTGTCTATCGTTAAGTTGGTCCTTCCTATCAACCAATGTTTCACATTCAAATGAACAATCTCAGATACCCATGGTGCACATAATAGGTGCCCAGTGGTACTGTGCAAGCCAGCTTAGTGTAAAAAAAAATATATCTGGACATCCTAGGTGTGCACAAGACAAAAAATACTCCACTGAGGTTGGGTCACAAAAGCAAAGTGTGGTCTCCTCATAATATATATTTCTACCCACATGAAAATTTCATATGACAGGGTGTATGATTCTATATGGTCATGTATAATCATATATTTGCCATATACCACCATACAGTGTATTCATATATTATCAATTTATGATGCATAATATATTTTATCTGTATTACAATATCAAAAGTTATGAGCTAATGGCATCATGTCTGACATGGTGAATATCCACAGACAAGTCTTATGGTTGTTGGTGAAGTTAGATCTCATAGCATGTGGTCAGTGGTGCATTTTGGCTAAGAGTCAGGGCAGTCAAGCAGGGGTTCCTCAAGCTCCACCCAAGTGATATTGGAGGAGAAAAATATAACCTCCATGGGGGCACCAAGCTCTGTCCCAGGGGGGTCAGGGGGGAGGCAGCTGCACTCCCTGCTGCCAATGCAAAATACACCACTGAATGAGGTTGTTACATGAGGGCCATGACCTTCTGACAACTCTGCAATATTTAATTCACCCATTACATTGTACATGAAATATTAGCTATGTATAACCTTTAAAGTAACTTCC